TACAACCCCAATTTAGGTGGCGTTAATGTGACATTAAATTATAGGTAAAATTAAATAACTTATTTAAAATCACATTTCGCTTAACCTATCATTTAGAGCCACATAGACTGAGATACAATCCTACTGGGGATGAATAATATTATTCTTTTTGAATAGTGATTTGATTGAGAACGTGTGATTGAAAAATAGAGAAAAATTTTGAATTTACGTGTAATATTATTTTATTAAAAAATGTGTCATATTTTAAAATTAATGGGAATCTAACATGCATTGAATTATTCTACTTGACGCCCGAATCTCTCGAGAGATTTGGTCCGGCGACAGCCGGAAATCTATCTTAAAATTATTGCTCATGCTCGACGAAATTCTAAAGCTTAGGGAGACGAGAACCGCCCACATTTAATTATCATATAATTATTCCTTTATAGCCTCCATCACATTTTAATAATCACATAATCTAAGAAGCAATCATGAAATACTATTTTGAAAACTAGCTATTCTTTTATGCCAGGGCTGCTATGATAAAATCAATAAAATTAAAAAGTTGAAGAATTTGTCGTCGTAGAGTACACAATTTAATATTTAAAGAAATTACAGTATGCTTGAAAATAATTTCGATTTCAAGAATTCTTACTTGAAAATAAGATTATTCAAAAATCTTAATGGTTGAATTACCTTAGTTTTTCATATTCCAAAATCAACTTTTTGTTGCACTTCTATGATTTCAATCTCGATCATGATCCACAACCTAAGTCTTGAGTTTTTCAAGTTTTCTTGCCAAAAACATGGTTATAGACCCTTATTTTGGTGTAATTTTTCACACAAATTTTCTTCATTTTTCTAGACAGGTTAAAGGAAGTTGGAAATTTCCCCAGCTAGCGCCTACAGAGTGTAAGTATAGAAGTTGAAGGGGATTAAAGGAAGTTATAGGTTTAAATTTCTAGTACAAACAACTTTCTTCTATCCATTTTAAAATCTTGCAAGTCAGATCACTCCTCATGGACGATTCACGACCCCTTTTTTCTAACAAATTCTAATAATAGATTAGTCTTTTATTCATCCAACAAACAATGACAATATCAAGTACTAAGCATAATGCTCGTTGGACAAACTCAAGGATAGGGATGGAGAGATATAGTGATATGATAGATAATAACTGGACGATGTGTGTTTTTTTTTAAGCTGTTCAATCATGTATCGACATTCACTATTTTTGAATATGTCTGTGAACCTGCGTAGCATGGTTCAAGTACTAATACCAAATTTCAGTGTGTTCAGACTGTGTAGAGACTATGAAACGTAATTGTCAATTTCATAGTCACTTTCTCAAAGTTAGCCGACAAAATAGAAAATACATCATCAGTTTTTCACTTTAATCGAGAGATGAACAAATTTGAAATTTCATTAGTTTAGAGAGAGACAAGAAAAGAACAAAGGATTAATGATTCAAATGAATCAAAGTCTCTTGATACAAACAAAACTAATAATACTAAATTAGAAATTCTTGTTGGCTTGCAGATCTTGATTTTTCTTTCTGAGTCTCTTTCTACGTGAGAGGGGTATTGAGAAGTCCATGCCAAGATGTGGCAATTCCATTCATATTGTTTGCATCCCCATAGCCAAATTGCTGCCATGGGAATCCCCACAATTCTCTTCTTTCATCTTCTCTCGCGTTGTGCATTTCTTGCTTCACTCTTGTTTGTGCAGCACTTAGCTCCTCAATTTGCATGTTCGTCCCACCATTTCCCAAGTACCCCATGTTTCCATTCCCGTAGTACAGATTTTGAAATTCATGATTCGGGGTTTCAAGAAATCCGCTCCTAAATTCATCGAAAAGCCCAGAATCGTAACAAGGGATGTTGGGATTACCTAACATGGAAAATTCATGGCCGTCAAATCCCATTACTCCGGTTGTCTGATTTGGAAGACTGGCAATTGCAAGGTTGAGATCACTGGAATCATATGATAGAGGTGTAAAAGAAGAGCTAGAAGGACTGGAGGAATTTGCTGTCAAAGGTTGTTCTTGGCTCCTCTTTGCTGATGCTCTTTTGTTCTTCCTGCACCCTCCACCCATTGGAACATTTCTCAATGTTCCACCTTTAGTCCAGTACCTCCTGCAAGATTTACAGAAGTACCTGGGCTGTGACAGACTGTAATTATTGTAATAACAAAACTTTGTGTTGTTGGAATCACATCTAGGGCATCTCAGGGATTGCTCACTAGGCCTTGGCTTCTTATCTTGCTGGGGTTTTGTGCAAGCCAACATGCTTTCTAGTGTTTGGGAACCCATTTCCTGAACAACAACAAATGAATTATAATTAGAGAAAGAAAACCCATGTGGACTATTGAATCAAGAACCCAAAATCACTCCAAAAATTGAAACTAAATGAGAAAAATATACAAAAATGAATCAAGAAAGACTTGTATATCCCACCTGGTTGTGTGCAGTTGAAGGATCCATCCATGCAACAATCAAATCTCCTCCTGAATTGAAAAGTCTTGGGTGGATATATATCTATATGAGTGTGTAAGTACAAATGAGGAGATTGAGAATTTTTTTTTTGAGAGATTTAAGGAAGTTTTGCAAGATAGCTCCACTCGAGCCTCTACATCCAAATATATATAGAGCGAGAGAGAAGGTGGGGGGAGGAGAGAGTGTGTGTGTAACCGGCTAAGATGAGAATTCACATAAAGAAAGAGAGACTAGAGATTGAGTAAGCTGTCAGCCAATTCTGTGATAGGATCCAGTGGCGTGGCTATGCAAATGGTCCCACCTAAATGCAAATACATTGTGTTATAGTAGTTTATACCTAAAAGAGTAAATCTGCCAATTACTGTTCATTCCTAAACCTTTTTTAAATCTCAATTCATTCCTATCTATCCTCTACTATTCATATAAGGTTTAAGGGTGATTTGGATTTCTTCCTACCACATGCCCATAATTGTTGATTTTCTACCATTTCCATGCTCTCCCAGTTAACCCACCGTTTATATCCTCATCCCTACTATCTAAAAATATGCAACCCACTGTTTACTATTCATTTGTGAAGCTCATTGTGATTGATTGGTCGGTAAATCTATTAAGTTGTTTTTTTATGGCAATGAGCTTGCATATGAAAATGATATGAATTAATTTAAGAATGATTTTTTTCATTGCAGCAAAAAAAAAAAAAATCCTGTTTGGTGCACATTTTGAGTCCATAAATGCATTTTTTTTAATGTGATAGAGAATATGTTGTTAAAAAAGAAAAAAAAAATTATTAATGTGATGAAAAATATTATTTTATTAAAGAATGTGTGATTGAAAATGAGTAGAAGAATAAGAATGAAAAAATAATGTGGCTGAACTTAAACTCCAAATAATACAAATTTAAATTCAGTCAGCTCTTAACCTACGAGCTTCGAGTCCAAAGATTTAGGTTAGCCTACTAAAAGACAATATCCCTGCAAGGTTCTAAATAGTTAATAGTCTTCGGCCAAGCCCAAGTTTAACTACAGCCCAAGTTTATAGCGGTTAACATCATAAATTATTCCACATAGGATTTCCCTTCACCACATTAATGAAATGAGAAATTAGAAGTCGTGTTCAAAACAAAATCGAATTCAATTGAAATGCTTGGATATAGGCGTTTGTGGGCCCATAGAAATGCAGTGATATTCATAGGGTAGTAGGTTGAAATAGACGACTGATGATGATAATAGAACAAGGTGGGGTACGTGACACCCATTGGACAGAGAGTAACCACTTTGTTGAATAATGCTACTCAGGGATTGTACCTCGCCCTTGGAGCATTGTGGAGGAAGTAAATCGTGGGATGTGTATCATTAGGTTAGGGTACAAGAGCTGTCATACTGATACCCACAAAAATTCTAATTTCATACCTTGTAAGAGAGTAATCGAACCCTCACATTACGATTGCCAGCTCAATTAAGACTACATCATTCATATCATTTGCACCACTGAGCTATGCCTCGAGAGGCTACTTAGGGATTGTAAACAAGGACAGGTTGCCGCACCTATGTGGCCAAGGTTTTTTTTTTTTTTTCAAACTGTTCAATGATGTCGCGACACGTGTTCCTCTATTTTTTAAATCCATACCATTGAGCCTGTTTGTGTAGTGTGATTGCACTTTGTTTTCACGCTTCTCAGTTTTGTTGCTTTAGTTCACATTGCCTATCGTTCCCACTCGGTCTTGGTATTGCGAATTGTAATTGGGATTGCTAAATCCAACTCTATTATGGCCATGTGCTGTGCTGCTTTGCGCATAGGTCAGGTTTACGTTGTCCAAATCTATATAATACTATTTACATCAAATAAATATATAGTGAATATATAAACTAATGGTTGTGCAAGAAAAAAAATGGTCGTTTGATAAAATTTTTGATAAATATTTTAACAGATTTGATAGAAAGTTGATGAAATCTATGATTGAAAAGTTGTCGTTCAAACCGGAGTATCCTATTGATGGGTTGATAAAAGTGCTTGTCTATCTAGCCCTAATTGATCCGATTTCAAAGCACGGTCAGTCTTCCTAGCCGAGCTCGAGTTCCCCAACCTCGAACAACCCCATAGTCTCTCTCTCATGGGCTAGCTCTGAGAAAGGCTTTCTCTGCAAGGGTCATGGGAAGACACCTCCATGGTTCTCTGCATTGTCCTTCTCGTGCTCTTCTATATTGCGATAGATAGGTTCTCTGCAGTGTCCTCGTGCTCTTCTATATTGCGATAGATTACTATTTAGAGAGTGGAAAAGTCCAGGCAAAGGGTGGGGATAACAGTCTGTGGTCCCATAAATATATGTGATTGAAATTGAAAATTGACCCGTTTAAATATAAAAAGCATTTTAATCGATTGAATATAAAAATATTTTTTATATGTGTACATAACTACCGTATGTTTTTGCTGAGGTAGGTTAGATGGTTCACATATCATTATGTCTACTCATCAACACGGTTGGTTCTTTGGGGGCGAATCTCTATTATTTCAAAAGAAAGGTTACTCTATAAGAATGCCACGTTCAAAGTTAATGATTAGATGTACCAAGTACTTCTTGATGAATACCAATTCATAAGCAAGCATATAACTATTAATTGGTATGCTGATTTCTATGTTCATAATCATGACACCTACATATATAGAAAGCTTCATTTCTTTTTATCCAAGTTTGTCTTTGTTTTGTATATTTATGGTAATCTATAAGTTTTCATGTTTCAGAGCTTGTTTGGAGCACATTTTGGAAGTAAGAATACATTTTTACTGTTGATATGATGGGGAGTATGTGGTCAAAAATGATGGAAAAATTATTGATGTGATGAAAAATATTAATTTATTGTAAAATGTGTGGTTGAAAATGAGTAGAAAAATGAGAATTGAAAAAATAACTCCGACAGGGTAAAGGATTGAGAATATGAGCTTGTACTGGTACTTTTAGTTGTTACCATGTACGAGATGGCATGAAAAATGCCGTTATGAGTCTACTTTTTATAGTTTTAGTAAAGCTATTTTAATTTTAAAATTGTTAGGTTTCTATTTTATTTTGTAGCTATAATGGTTCAAGGTAAATTATGTTTCATGTCCATACTTATAGCTAATTTGTTAGATTTTAGGTGTAGTGCATTAGTGGGATTATGTAATGTTTTATCTCTATTTAAAGGGATAAAAAGAAATGAAAATGGGCGAGGGAGAATTTATTCGGCATTTTTATGGTTTTGGAGGTTTTTAGTTTCTCGAAAACTCAATTTGGAGGTCAAGGCTCCTTCGATTGAACCTGCCATAATTATTTTATTCTGCGATCAATCCATCTTTGTATCAAATGTATACATAGATATCGTGTCAAAAATTACATAAAAGTATAAGTTTTACATTTGTCAAAATGTACCTTAATATTGTTTGATAATAATTTTCCTAACCGATATCGAGAATATCAAAAAAAAAAAAAAATTCCTTTATTTTAAAACTACGCGAGTTGAAATTATAAGAATGCGAAAGAATTCAATCATCCCGACTTTCCCGACATATATGATATATATAGTTAAGGGAAAAAAAAAAGGTACATATATCTTCCTATTTTATGATTGCAAAAACCTTTGATAATATTATGGTAGGTTCTTGAAAAATTTGTCACATATCTTCTTTGATCATTTTCTCTAAAGCGATATTATTAAACTAACACGTGTTTCTTATCCATTGACCGATCCAACAAATGATAATCACATGCAATCCAATGAAATGATAATCAGCCAATTAAAGAAGGTCACAAATCCTAATTCTTAAGCCACTTTGAAATCTTTCTCTATCCCTAAACATTACTATTATTTTAAGTTAAAGTGCAATTATTATTGGGTTGGTGGGAAATTCAATGTTCCAAGGACAAATATTCTAATCTGTCATCATTCAGTTTTATGTTATCAAACAATGATTGATCCCACTTAGGATTCCACGACAATCAGAAAAGGATTTCTATGCTTGTAGTTGTATAGAAGAAGAGTTGCAAGAATTTCACCAAGATCTTGATGTGCCAGCATTTGGTTGGTCTGTTTTTTTTTGCCATTATCGAATAAAAAACTATCAAGTGTATTTTGCCAAAATTCTGACAGCATTTTACTGTACACATAGCATGGCTCATCAGAAAATGCCTTTTGCCTTCACCACTTAAAAAATCATTGATATTCGACCCTAGTCGGTGGGATAAAATCAGATTTTCAGTAAATTTTGATAACATGTATGATTGAAAAAGTATGAATAATTTTAACTTAGGTTAAAATTTAGATTTTAATCTATATCAAATAGAGACTATGGAAAATTGAATGAATAAGCTGGTGTAAATTAATCGATTCTTAATTTGTTTTAAACATTTTTTTTAAATTTTTTTACAGTTCTTTACATTTGATGCGATTGGTTTTCAAAATTTGAAGTCGAACCTGTAGGGCAGATCCAATTTTCAAAACAATGGCAGAACCCCAAATTGGATAGACAAAACATGGTGGGTCACATTTTAAAATTGTGGGACCATGCTCATGGCCAATTGGTCAAGGAAGTTGACTGGTCAAAATTGGATGAGTCCAACAAAACACTGAGCAAAGTGAAAGTAGGGTTCGGAATCTGTGCCAATTGTGAAAGCATCCCTTACGAAGAAAAGAATCTCCGTAGTAAAGCATGCTGGGGGGTACCCATTTCTGATATTGAAGCTTCTTTACCCACTCAAATTCTCTGTCTTGTCTTCATTTTTCCATTAATTTATTTTATGATTTGACACATGATCATTTTCAACTACATATTCACACAATAAATTACGAATTGGTGAAGCAAATTGAAGGAAGCAATTTATTTGCCATGCGCTTGTTTCTACAGAAATTGAAGCAAAATTGTTTGAACCATATGCACACATGGCTCATGCTCATGCTCATGCGTGCGCATGGCTCTAGGAACTAGCCGTAGAGGCTTGGTCTTAAGGTTTGATTTTGGTGATTTTTCATGAAAAAACTTGACCTTTCATGAATCACTGACACTATTTTGTGATATGTGAATTGAAATCTATAAATAGGCGATATATTTC